TAACCCATTGAGCCACCAGGGAGAGTCCAATAAATAAATCTTAAAAAAAAAAGTTTTCCCCTTGAGGTTTACCGGGGCTCACCAGCCTGGGGCGCCTGACGCCTTCCTCTTCTCCATGGAGAAGGCAGAGCTGGTGCTCTCCGGGTTTGCCCTATCCTGCCCCACCCTTTAGTCTCAGCTGCCTTATTTCTGTGGCCTCTGAAACCTCACGCCAGTTTCACTGGGTCTCTCCCATGTACCCAGGGGTCGTGTTATTTTTAAACTTCCTCTGGGCTTTTCCCCTTTATCAGTCAGTCTGGTGCCTGTTGGATTAATTGTCAGCTTGGCACTGAGAAGGGCACAGCACGATTTCCTTTGCGCCCCAACAGTGTGGTAGTATTCTGTTGGCATTCAGGATGTCTTGGTCCTCATGCTAAAAGGAGGCACCCCAATTTGGGGACAGAGTTCCACAGAACTGTAGCAACAAGCTTTTACTAAAAAACATTTCCTGGGGAACAATGTGGGCTTTTCCTCCGCCCTTGGTAGAGGAATACAAATGAAAACAGACCTTCAAAAAAAAAGGGACTTGGAGGAACAGATAAATAAAGTTTATTCACTCTATGAAAAAGAGGAAAGAAAAACAAGACACTCCCTCCAAACCTGCCAGCAGCGCTAGGGAGGCCTTTCCTCCCTCTGGCTCTCCAGTGGAAGGTGTTGAGTAGGGTGAGGAGCTACGCAGCAGGGGGGTGGGGGATGAGGGGTGGGGGGGAGGTGTGTCTCCCTGTCCAGCGGTCTGGGGGAGCTCTGCCTGCAGGTGTGTTTGTGTTGTGCAGAGTTTTATACATTTGAACCAATATTTCTTCAATGTGGCTTTTTGTTTTTAACCTGCATCTGGCCATCTGGTTTCTTAGGGTGCCCTGGGATGTTGTTGCAAGCCCTGGGCTGCCAGCCCACTGGTGACCATCAGGGGTGCTGGGGAGCAGCACCCCCACCCGGTACCTCATAGCTGCTTCCTTAGTTGGGCCCCTGTCAAGCTCTGGAACCGAGGGTGGGCGGGTGCTGCAGATAGAGAATTCCTGCTCCTGGGCCCCCCCCCCCCCCCAGCCTCAGGCACGCCAGTGCTGCAGGCTTTACACTGACTTTCACCAAAGCAGGGCAGTTCCTAGTAGGGCAGAGGAGATCCAAGGTGCCCCCCGTAACAGAGTGGCCCCTAGAAAAAGGAAGGTTCCAGGTTCCCTGCTCCACCCAGGGGAGATAGGTAACTTTGAGGTGCTAGATTTGGAAACTATATTTATCTTGTCTGTATTGCACCCTAATTGTATTAAAGTTACTTTCCTTTAAGGGTCTTACCTGTTTATCTTGATGCGGCAGATGGCAGAACCTATTTAGAGCAGGCAGGTTGGGGGTTTGGGGTATCCCTGTATTATCCCCGTACTGCTCCCCCAGGAGTGCACGGCTCCCCCACACCTCTTTGGGGTGCTCACCCTCCAAGGCACCTCTTGGCAGTAGCTTCTCCAGGCAGGGGTGTATGTGCCTTCCTGAACTCTGTAGAAGGTTCCTGTGGAGCAGAACAGTGGCCCCCATGATCCCCATGACCCCTGCCTAAAGCCGGCAGCCTGAGGCCTGGAGTGTTGTCAGTATAGTTTTTACTTAGGCCTCAGCTGATGGAGGCACAAGGCTGGGTACCCACTTGCTAGTCTCATGGCAGGACACCCCCCAGGCCGTATCCCGCCCCCTCCTGAGTTGACTCCAGAGGATTTTATCTTTCTCTGAACAGGTATTAACTTCTCACCTCTCCTTTTTTTTTTTTAATAAAAAATTTATTTATGTATGCAAACAAGAGCTAGGGTGTTGGCCAGAGGTGCAGTGGGGCAGGGTTGGGGGTGGGGGAGCAGCACAGGCAGATCTACTGAAATACACTATTGAGGGGCAAGGTGGCCCGGTCAGGAGAGGTCTGTGCCATGTGGGTCAGCTCCCTGGCCAGGGATGGAGCTCGTGCTGCAGTGGCTGCAGACACCTTCATAGTGCTGAGACTTAACCCCTGCACCACCAGGGAGGCCCTCTCACCCTTCTGGTCTTTCATTTCCCCCAGGACGGGCTCTGCCCCAGTACCATCACCACCAACCAGCTCCCCTCCTAGAGGAAGGGGTAGCCTCACCGGAATCTAGTCTAAATGCTCCTGCCCTGTCGGAGGTCTCTGGGGGGGACCTGCGATTCTGCATTTCTAATCCCCCCACCTGCTGGTTGAAGGATGCTCAGGAGGAAAGGCGTCAACTCACACCTGTGGGCATCTGCGGCCTCTTGGGAGCCTGGCCCTGTGCCTTGTGAGCCTCAACTCCCTTACCATCACAAAAGAGGTCGTTAGCTCTATTTTGCATGTAAAACAAAAGTTGAGGCCCCAGAGAGAGCAGGTAACTTGCCCAAGGTCACACAGCTGGGAGCTGGCCCAGCCTGGGCCAGCGCCACTTTGGAAAGGATGCTGTAGGGAAGCCCTTTTTACTCCAGTGTCTGTGGTCCAAAAGCCACAGGAGTCTTTTCAAGGCAGCCAAGTGGGATATAAATCAGGGGAGCCCTGGGCCAACCAGGCCAGCACTGACAGCAGGGTGGCTCCAGGCGGTGTGTCGGGCCCAGGCTGCTGGGATGGCAGCCTGGTGGGGGCCCAGGCGACTCCCAGAACGCCAGGCAGACCCCGCCAGGGCCTGCAGGGTCCCCAGGAGGGTCCGTGTCACTCCTAAACGACCACCTCCTTGTTCGTTAGAGGTGAATCCCAGCCCAGGCGAGGGGCAGCAGTGGGCTGGGCAGGGCCGTATCTGCTGCTTTTTTGCTTGAAGACTGCTTCCTCGTCTACCTCAGGCATCTGGGAGCCTGCCTTGAGGCCACGAGCCCCTGCCTGGTCGGTCTCTAGCTTGGCTCTGAGCTTCTGAGCTCCTGACCTCTGCAACTGGGAAGAGCAGAACAGGCCGCATTCTAGATGGTCAAAATGCGGCCCCTGGGGGGTGCAGTGTGGGATCACCTGGGAGTGTTCGAATGAGGAATCGGCTGACTCAGATGGGGTGGGGCCCTGCAGCAGTTCTGCCGCTGCTTAACTTTGAGAAGGGCCAATGTCTCCATCTCCGGCCACAGGCCTGGGGGTGGGGGAGGGTCAGCCCTAAGATTTGCAACAAGCAGGGGTGGGTAGCTAGTGCACCAGGCTCCCAGGGGAGCCTCACTGCCTTTCACCTGCACCCTCTGTTCTGGTGGCTTGAATGTTAGAGAGAGGGTACACGCATAAAATTACCCAGCAAATTCAAGGCAGGGTGTCAAGCAATGTGTATTTCTAAAGAGGTGTGTAAAGCGGAAGAAATCAATGGGTTGTAGCAATTCTGTCTGTTTACAACCTTAGGAATACAAAAGAATATCTACTTCTTTAACTAAAAGGCCCAGGGTCATACTTCCAGCTTGGGTGCTAAGAGAGGCCATCATGGCCTTCCTCTGTTGGTCTGTTCTTCTTGGGGTCACAGCACCAGATGTATCTCCTCCCAGATGTATCTCCTCCTGCTGAGGGAGGGAAGTAGAGAAAACCTAAAGGAGGTATCACAGGATTAGAACCTGCCTCGCAGGAGGTGGGGCAGAGGGCTACTACCATGACCATCAGCCCCGCTCTGGCAGTCAGACCCTGAGCTCCAGTGCCTTATTATCTCGAGGCGGGAGGCCCAAGCAAGTGTCAGGCTGCAGTAAGGGTGTCTGCAGCACAGGCCTGAGGGTGAAGAGAGAGACCGGGCCCATTGCGGAATCAGTGAAATCTGGGTCCTGTCCGGAGTCCACAGCCATCCAGAATCAGCAGCGAACAGGCCACTCCATGAAGGAGCGAGCCCCCCAGAGAGAAGGGGGCTGATACAGAGCAGGCCTTCTCAGTCCCCTTAACATTGCGCTTGCCACTGAGCACAGCCTTCGTCTCCCTTCGTCCCTCTTCTTGCTGGAGTCCTGCCTACTGAGGTATACGTTCTACTGTTCACACCTGTTCCAGACATTACTAATCCATCCCAGTTTCTCAGAGCTCAGCGTCATGACAACCTGGAAGATGAATCCTTGATGGCTTCTCTGTCCCTGTTGCCTTTTGGGGGTTCCAGGCGCCTTCAGAGCTTTTGTGTTCTTAGCTGTGTCCCCAGTGACCAGAACAGGGCCTGGCACGTTGTAGATACTCAGGAAAGGAGCCTCAGCCTGTGTTGCGGGCTCCAAGGTGAGCTTGTTGAGCTTAGGAGCCCTAACATGGCAATGGGGTGGTCTAATATGGGGGACAGGGAGCTCTGGAGGAAGTTTCTGTGACAGAGCCTTAGCAACGATGGAGAGAGAAAGGATGATGTGTCCCGCCCCTTAAGCCTGGCTCCCTCGATTCTCTCCGAACCCCACTTACCCTCTACATGGGTCCCGTTTTCTGGTTTTATCTTCAGGATTAACGGGGCGCACTTCCCGCTTAAGCCCTGCGGGTGGAATGAGACCAGGTGCCCAGCCCCACGTGCATTATTCCGCAAACTGAGTTTCAGCAGACAGGAGGACGCATTCTGTTCAAAGCCAGAAATGCTGGGGTCACGCAAGTCAGGATGACGACTCAGCCAAGTTGAGCAGATTTGCTTGGGGTGATGATCCTCAGCCTATAACTAGCTGATGAGCATCATGTTCCCCACGAGTCAGCACCCCCAGCCCCCAGCCTCCCTCAGGCTGAATGTCGATCCCCAGCATGTGCCCAGCTGGAGGCAGTAGGCACAGGCCCGGTGCGGGACTGAGCCGGCAGCGCCACTAGGAGTGTGAACCCTTGGGTGCGGCCGGGGAGCTGGCTCACCTGCAGTCTGGGAGAGGTGTGTATGCACGTGTGGACCCAGGTCTGTGTGCCCCTGGGCCTGAGCTTCCCAATTTTCCCGTCCTGTCCCTGCTGTGCCGGTGGGGCCTGCCAGCATGCGTGCTGGGCTCCCGGCGACATAGGGAAAGTCCTGTAGTCACAACCTGATCTGTCTTCTCTTTCTCTTCCTCTTTCAAAACAGGTCCAGAACAACCGCCGTTGCTGAGGAAGCCCCAAAAAGTAAGTGACGTAGCTTGTACGTGTCTCGGCCTGTGTGGTGGAGACCCGAGGTCGAGGGCGGAGGCGAGCTCAGTGTCTTCTCCAAGCTCAGCGGGGAGACGACAGCCCGGGCCCCACCCAGGACCTAGTCCCCACGACACCCTGGGCGACACATTATTGGCTGGCGTGGCCACCTGTGCCTACCTGTGCCAGGTCGGGATGCAGCCTGCAGATGGCCCTTTGGAGCCCTTCCTGGATCCCATCCTGGGCTGCCACTGAGCACCGAGGGGCCTGGCTGACCTGAGTTCTGAGCACGGGGGTCAGACGTCTGC